GATTGATCAAATGAATTCGTTTTGTGCTGATCGATTGAGGAGCATACAGCTAAACAATGCATTCTGAGTGAGATAAGAAATGAATTCAAATGAATCACCTCTTGCAAAGAAACGTTGAACGGTGTTACGAGCCGAGCGATAAACCTTAAAAAAACACATTATTGAACGTATCTACAATTGATAATCATTCATCTAATCAACAACAGCAACATGAAGTGAAATCAAACCGAAACAAACGATGCATTATGCATAATTAAGCGACGACTAGGTGACATGATGATGACGGCAAATGATTGCGATATTGGTGTTATCAGTGTGGAATAATGCGAGTTGCTGATTGCTGATGCCTTTCTGAAATCGCTGATTGCATACCGAGTTTTAATGCTGATAAGTGATCAATTGATCAAATAGCACATCGAGTGTGTTCATTATTGATACGTATGAAAGGCATTCAGCTGTACATGCGCCTCAACTGATCAGCACAAGAAAAAATTTATTTAATCAATCAAAAATTCAAATAGAATATTCAACTTTAATAGATCAATTGCGAGCATTAATGACAAATAAACACAATGCTTATTAGGCATTCAATTATCCATTGCAGTATCACAAATTATTACTGGTGCGATTGCAATCGTAATTATTGCAGTTGAAACGACGCAACACTCGCATAACATCCGTTTGCATCCCTCTCATCAACGCGACTCCATAAATGCACCTGATTTAAGCATTATTATTATTTGTTGTTCCGTATTAACAGGATAATGACAATAATAAAAATTTAGAAATCACCTCAGAGAGTGTAACATGACCAAAATAAAATTCGCCATATTTCTCCATCAGCATTCTCACGTCCATAGTATCATTATCTTTTATGCCCTTTTCGATCTTCAATTAACAACTCATTTAGTTAACTCCACACTAAATAATCATAATAACATTAAGAACATCACCAACCGCATATCGTGTATTCATCAACGTGCAATGAATCTTGACTCGATCCTGGCGTCTCGGTGCTAAACCAACCTCACCGAAGCCATCCGCAATCGCATCGACCAATTGTTGCAATCTGAATCATTACAATTCTTCAAAAAACAAATAAACACAAATGAAATAAAGCATTTCATAAAACGGAAATTAGGATGAAAATTGCGATTCGAAGCTTGAGATTAACAACTGAATTCCGTTGATGAACAGCATAAAGAAATGCAAGCGAAACCTTTCTGAGTGTATTTTAGCGAAAAGAACACGAACACGCGATGGATCATCATTCATGAACTCCAGTCCTCGCATCTCAACTTCGATTCCTTCACCTCGAATCATTTCTCTGCAACAAAAACAATTTCAAATCACCAATCAACACTCTATTATCCTGTTTCGGTGCATTCATCCAAATAACACGATACAATAGAATCACCAACTCAACACATTTATTCGCGTGTTTTCGTAATGTATTCGTTGCTTCGACGATTTCATTCTTATCCAGTAACGATAACATCACAACTGTTATATGCAGTTTTATAGGTGCTTGGAACACACTCAACTCACGGCATGTGTTCTGTAAATTATCATAAGATGTGATATATATCAATGAAACGAATGATCAATTATAGTAATAATAAGAATAGAAATGGAAGTAATGATGATAGTAATAGTAATTGTGATAACAGTGATAAATTTAACGATAATCAAAAAGGAGATACCGGCAACTGTTCATCGTTGTGGATGAGATCAATGAATTGGTTGAATGATTGCTGAATTTCGGTTGAATTCAAAGGGATTGCGATGAAGTGTGTATATGCGGAACGTTCGCGTTTATTCATAATCAACAACTGGATTCGATCTATACATCGACTCACACTCTCCTCAGATTTCGTTGAGATTATCCCTGGAATTACTGACGTGTGAATTATCCCTGAGATTGTCCCTGAAGGATCAACTGAACATCTTATTCGTATTTTGTTGCTACACACCAATTGATTGTTGTGTCTTTGATTTTTGATCCGGTAAAACAATACGGCAATCGGTTTCATTCTCCAACTTCCTTTTCGTCGATCCTTTCACACCAACTATGAATCGAATCATTTCTCGCGGTATTATCATTCTGAAGTTTACATTCTTTGAATGGAAATAATTAACTGATTTGATGATAACGGGATGTTGATGACATTCAATCACCTGGTTGACCACTTCCTCGAGCTAGTATCAAATTTGATCTCATTTTTGGTGGATCCATCATAATTTGAAGCGGTATCATTGCTATCACTCAACTGTAGATGATTATCATCAGTGAGAATTTCATGACTCACTCCAGTATCACTTTCAATGGATGATTCATGCTGATCAGACGTCAATAATGCTGATTCGATATTTTCATCTGGAATTGTCGAATGTTACTGATTCTTTAGTTTGCTTTGAGATATAAAGTGCTTTATCGATTCTTTAGTTTGTTTTGAGATATAAAGTGGTTTGGCTAATATTATTAGTGGTGTACCTCATATGGGTACATTATTAGTAAGAATGCAGGAAATGTAACTGAATGTACGTGATTTCCCGATGTTGGTTCACAAGATTTCGTCAATAGACGTGATATTTCGATGCATTCTTTGATTCAATGGAATTCGTTAATAATTCTGATAAAATGAAATGATTATTAACATGTTGCTGAATTGCCTTCGTTATTCACATCGAACTGATCCTCACTACCGTTATCATCAACCACGCAGTTATCAGTACCATCATCATCTCCGTACAAATCCACTGTATCGCCACCCCTCAACTCTGCATCCTCATCACTTCTACAACCAGTTATTCGTCAATATTGTGAACACTATTGTACTTCAGATTGATCCGTACTACTTAGATAAGCACGGTTCGGATAATAAAGACGGTTTTAATTGTGATTCACATTTGCGAATGAGAATCTCATTTATGATTTGTTATTACAGTTGTTAGTTAGAGGTTGGCTTGGTTAATCCTTTTATTATAGTATTGCTTTGCAGAACGAATTCATTCGATCAATATTATTTCATTGATAGTTTCTTGGCAGTTCTAAGAAACTGAATGGAGAGGGTCATTTGACGTGAGCATTTTCAATGACTTTTAGGTTTCTGGGTTTGTGATGAGTGATTTCGATTAAGACAATATTTCTGACGAGTGAATAGGTGAGTGTGCGTTGTGATGTGCATTTCTGAATGGCAATTTGTGGTGAAGTAGAATGTTAACGGCAGATTATAAATCAAAATGGTGAAGTTAATATGTTAAGTACAATAAATATGTTTGAATACGGTAATTCCTTCAGTGATTCGGTATTTTAAGATAATACGAGACATTTTTATCGGAAATATTCACTGTCAATGAGCTTGAATGTTCATGATGAATTATTTTTGAAGTTAAATTTGTGGATTATTTCGGAATTCGTTTTCGTGGCTTTGCTTGGACGTGAATATGTTTGAACGGTTAATTGAAGCATGCTGAATGAATTGCAAGTGAACACATCACTGACCTGAACCCTTTGTAAGGATTTCTTCTGTAAATTCGACCATTTAATTCATATGTATGGACGAACAATGGATAATTCATAACAGAGTTATGATTCGGTCCTATCAAGGTATACTGCCTAAAAACTGCTTGCATCATCAAAATAACAATTTTCAGTTGCGATCAACAAAAAACAATAAATTGTGATATTGGATCCGCCGGATGTTTTGCAGAATTCCGGTTCATAATTTTGTGTGTTATGGTGTTTATAGGTAGTGACACTTCGCCAAGTACGAACGGACTGATAGTTCGCCAAGTGACGGAAGTGGGATTTTCATTTTATATATGTTCAGAAATGTGAATTTCTTACCTACTCAATGGGGATAAATCCGGGCAATTCATATATCATTTTATAGCACAGATCCAGGACAACAAAAATAGCTGATATGTTTACCACTGATCGACGTATGCTGGAGATTTTCGAT